CAGTAATTGTATGCCCAACTCTGCATGTGGGACATGCTAAGAGAGGATGTGGTGGATGATGGCATTGTGGATAGTCCACGCAGTAGAGGCACATGCTTTCTATGACAGCTTCCTGGAAACATTGATGACACATGGCATGTTGCTGACGTGTCAGCAGGAAGGCAGGCTGACGTTCGCAGCTATTTAAGCATGGCAGATTAAGGCCACAACAACATATTGGGCAGGCGATTAGGGGGGGGGGGATGAACACAAGACGAAGAGTTGCAGTTTTCGCGTCAGAGGCTGGCAGTGACCATCCCTTCAGTGTTCGGAGCAGAGACTATGCACTGTGCATGCTAACCGGACTGTGGCTGTGTGGCTACAGAATGGAAGGGCACAGCCATCATCTTCTAAGGAGGTTCTTTCATTGCCTAGAGCAGAATCTGCCCGATTTACACAGGGTGGGGACACTGCCTGGTCATGTGCAGGGGAGGGAGGTAATTGCACATCCGGATCGGTCTCCAGAGACTGAAGCGCTTGCGGGTGCGGAGTAGCGTATTGTTCCTGAAGGATAATCCAAATTGAGTGAGTATTTGCTACTTGGCTATAGAAAGAGTTAATGTAACCGTGTGCACCCTACCTCCATTGTCCCATAAGGAACATGAATTGTCTGCATAGGTCACAGCGCTGAAATGTCCTGGCCGATGCAGGATGTACTTGGGTTCATGTCTGGCATGTGGTTTTGGGGAGCTGGCTGCAGTTGTAGTCTTCTACCCATAAACGCCATAGACAAGACCTCTATGTTCACTCCAGGACCAGTACTGTCATCCTCCGGGCAGACAGTACGGTGCTCTTCTTCTATCCAGCGAACAATATCAGCAAATTCAGAAACTGTGTAAGGGTTAGTTGTAAGCGAGGAGACTTACATTGATGGCACAGTACGCACAATAGCCTCGCTGCAGCACTATGAGATCATATGATTCTGCTGGTTGTGAATGGCCGTGCAGTTAAACAACTGGTGTCCATGTGCAAGGCCTCCCGAGTTTTGAACCCGCAACATCAGTAGACCACAATATGCACTTCACAAACCAGTCTCTAACCACTGAGAAAAGCGGCCATTCACGAGGCCGATTCGTATAATTCAGAACATTGCAAAAAGAACATGTCAAATTTAATCAGTGTGTGTCATACACCTGTTAGTCCAGTGGGAGATGACCAGTGGGATTTGTTGACAGCGAGGCAAGCTATTCAATATCATGATAAATATTCTCTACAAAGCGAGATACACCTGATATCCCGTGTTGCTTCTATCATTGACGATGATGGTCAGATTTGATGGTCAGATTTGCCCACAAAGACATACACACGTACCCATATAGCCCAAAGAGACCTGCTGACCAAGAGGCAAAACGTTCAATCCGTATTGGGGCAAACCAGGATTTGAGTACACTGTATTGGTACAAACCAGGATTTGAGTACACTGTATTGGTACAAACCAGGATTTGAGTGCATGGGGTTTTACTCTCTTCATGGTCACACCTCCAAAAATGGTCTTAAACATTTCCAGCGGAGAACTAAATGTATCAAAAATTTACAGTTCAGTGAAGAGTCACTGGGTAAGTCCTTTCTCTTGTTCCACTCTATGGATCAAGAATTTCAGTTCAGTGAAGAGTCAATGGGCAAGTCCTTTCTCTTATTCCTCTTTTCTTTCTAGTAGTTTCTACCAATCATTGTCAAAATCACCGGCCGCAGGAAATTCACAGATTTCATTTATCTACTTCCATCTGGATTCAAACTCCGGTCTGTATTTCAAACATGTTGGGTAACCCGACCTAGACCCATGGGTAGGTTCGAACTCAGGTCTCTATTTCAACACTTCATGCTGGGTAGCCTTAGCTAGACCCTTTGCAAGGTTTGAATGCTGGTCTATGTTTCACCAGTTCATGTTGGGTGGGTGCACAACCTAACCTGGACACGTGGGTAGGTACTCCCACTGATCACGACAACAGTGATGACCACTGAAATGTGAAGAGGTCATTTCCGTTACAAACATGCTTTTCTTCTTCACACGATGTTGAGCTAGGCTTTTCACTGTTTTCAGTTGATTTTGCTTATACAAGCGAACTTGCTTATATACTAAATATACCACAAATGGCAATTTGGCTGCAGCCCGCTTTTCTTCGTCACACAACGCTGAACAAGGCTTTTCAGTGTTTTCAACTCTTCACTGTTTTAACATGCTTTTCTTCTTCACACAATTGAGCTAGGCTTTTCACTGTTTTCAGTTGATTTCGCTTATACAAGCGATATGCCATAAGTGGTAATTTGGCTGCGGCCCGCTTTTCTTCGTCACAAGATGTTGAAGTAGGCTTTTCAGCGTTCACTGTTTTCAGTTGATTTTTATTTTGTATCAGAGCCTCTGTGGTTGCAATACAAGCGAACTTGACATACTAAATGTACTGTAGTATATGGTAATTTTGCTCCTCCAGGCTGTGAGCTGGAGTCTATGATCATACAGCCAGACCCCCCTTCGAATCGATCAAAAAGGTCAGCAGGCAAGCAGAGAAAGAATGAACAAAAGAGAAAAAGAGAACTATTCAGTGAACGGAGGAGTATGAAGGACGCTTTGCAAACACTAGAGAGACCACAACATTAGCCATCATCAGACCAAGTCCGGTGACATTGCTGCTGGACTACAAACAACACTCAAGGGTACATAGAAGGACGCACTTCACACCCCTGTTAACAATAAAACGTAGGGCACACCAACACACCTGATTTATGCAACATGGGATAAATAGATGGAAATGGAGATGGCCTTCCGAGAGCGAGAGAGCATAAATAAATGGAAATGCAGAACGCCTTCCCAGAGCGAGTGCGCATTACTCTCTGAGCCTAGATCAATCGCTTTAGGACATCCCTTCCTAACTTCGACACATTTTTTCCTTTTCCTTTTTCCCTTTTCTAGATGTACTAAAAGTTTGGACTTTGACCACATTCACCAACCAAGCAATAGGGAACACATTCGACTACATGGCAAGAAGACCATATTTATTAACAGGGCTGGAACTATTAAAATGTATAACCACCCCTGTTCATTTGGTAAGAGTCCGTAAGACTACCGTCTTCGCTCGCAGCCCACGGGCGGCAAGGCCTGTTTGCCAGGAACCACATGATGTCTGGGGAGGACGCCATCGCTGAAACCAACAATCTCCTTCCAATTGACATCCCCTGGTCCCGTTATACGACCAGAGTGGCGAGTCCACGCATGGGATAGCTCAACAAAACGCCGTCGCACAAACGGCATCGAAGACATCGTCGACACAAATTTAGACTACAACGGCGAGGACATCGCAGGGCTTTGACGGTGGTGTCTACAGCATCGATAGGTTGGTCTGAACAGTGTGTTCCCTTCAGGAGTGGCAGGGCGGCAATGATGGACAGTCAAATGATGGTGAGGGAAGGCAGGTCACCCTCGTGACCGGCAGCACCCCACCGTGCAGGAGTTGACCTCATCCTCGTTATGGTTGGACAGGGCATCGGCGGCAGAAATGGTGGGCACATACAAGCAACAAATTCAAGATACTGTCGCGACGATGCTCCAAGTGAGGGACAGCCTGTCACTGGAGACACTAAAGAAGCAGAAGACACCTTCGATGAATGGGGAGATGGACTGCAAGAGATTGCTTCCTTGCCACGGGGCACTGTTGACGAAGAGCAAGTTACAATTGATACACAAGAGTGCCTCCTGCTGTTGATGAAGCTGCGAAAAATTATAGCACAACAACCGGCGGCAATCACCACGACAACTCGCTGGTAGATGAAAGCTGCCTGGCTACAATCCAGGCGCTGCGCTGCCGCTGCCTGGTCAACAACATGATACCGAATCAAGACCACGGGGAGGCTGACAACACCCCCACATGGCGATTGGACACAGGACCGCCTGGACATGCAAAACCTGCAGACTAAGGGGGTGACGAGTCAGGCGTGTGGCATGACAACCACAGACTGAGGAACTTGCAGATCATCATGGTGAGGAGGGCAAAGGCCCCCGTACCAGCCAGAGGCAGGAGTGGAGCATCGCGTGGACACTGCGCTCTCCCGGATGGTCGCAACGAAGAGCACGAGGTAACCTCCACCAGTTACGATGCATCAATCTTTTTGCCTGCGGATATGCTCTCGGTGGGCTGACCACGGAAGTCGATCGGCTGACCATAGGCACAGATCATGGGGTTTCATTGCATGTGTTTTCATGCCCAGGAGATGCTCGCTGCGCCGCTCTGCTCAGAATCCCTGGAATCGGATAGCTGTTTCAATTTTGGTGGATGAGCTGCCAAGATTGGACATTGGTTTGTGGGGTAGGGTAGAGTGAGGATGTGTAAGTTCATTGAGGGTGACTGAGGTTTCCGCCACTCGCACCCGAGCACAACCCGATGCAGTTGAACCAAGTGTTATACACTAAATGTTTCACATCTGTTTTCAACTTTCTTGTTATATGATCTTTGTAGAACACCCGCTGTATCTAGACTGGACGTTGTAACTTGTAACGCAAGGAGTTATCATGCCCAGGCATTCTATTCGGGGTGAAGATGGCAGATCCACTCATACACCTTAAGTCAATTGTAAATTTTAATTGGATTTAACTACCAACTCGCACCAAGTGAATTGCACCGGAATCCAACTGAATTGCACCACCACCACTTTCACTATAGAGCTCTAAATTTTGTTTGGGGTCCTGGCTTTATGTCCATTCCGTCGAGCATCAGTCCTTTTTGTTCCTTTTACCCCAGCAAGTCACGTGTTACAGTATCGACACCCTCGCGCTTCCTTCCGTTTGGCCAATGGAGCAAGGTCAACCTTAGACATCCACATGAGCTTTCAGTTTGCGTTTCTACAATGTCCGTTTGGTCGATGGAGCAAGGTCAACTTCAGACATCCACATGAGCTTCCAGTTTGCTTTTCTACAATGGCTTGGGTTGCAAAATGTTACCATGTTTTCCTCGCCGATCTCCTCCGCAATTTCAACATTGGCTCCATCCATGGTTCCAATAATCAGCCCTCCATTCATAGCAAATTTCATATTGCTTGTTCCCGAAGCCTCCGTTCCAGCAGTACTGCACAACACATCATGTTTGGGTGAAGTTGAGTGCAACTTGTTAGTCACACATTTTGAAACTCGGGAGTGGATATAGTCATTTGACCAATGGATAAAAAAAAGAAGTGCTTAGCACACCCTTTAGCACAATGCATTGATACCAGCTTGATGATGCATGACGCTGCCGTCCGCATGCACACACACACACACACACACACACACAGAGAGAGAGAGAGAGGTGCAAGCTCTCTCTCTCTCTCTCTCTCTCTCTCTCTCTCCCCTCACTACCGTCTACGCACCCTCAGTATATGTTCCCAGTGTCAATACTTAGTTCACCTCTTTCCACCTTTGCATTTGCGAGGCAACTAGGGTGCTGCCAAAAGAGGCATCTGAGAACATGTTTAAATGGGGGGAGACACTTCCGAGACTCCGAGTCTCATTTCAGTGGCCTTGACCTCCCAAAAGCTCATATCGACGGAGTCAATCACCCTTGTCATCTTGGGGTACTTGCACAGTGATGCGTACGCACGAAGCTGGATATATGCTGGGAACCAGAGTTAAAGGAGATCAGAGGCCTGGCGTGCAAAAACAAGAAGCATATGCCACTAATCAATTGTGTGAGAACATTGAGACCAGGTTTTGGTGTGGGGAAGGGAATTTGCATCCCTTTCGTGAGTTTCAGACTGTTCCTTTCAGAAAAGCAGCTAGGTGAGGAAGATGTGGAGCAGTTTTGGGCATTTCACCAGATGATTTAGACCAAAACTAGAGATTACCCACTGACCTGATATGCTGTGAGAGGTCGCTTGCTGGAATGATTGCCTCTGCCAACGAGACATTGTAGTCGGGAAGGAAAAACTGCACAGCGACCACAACCAAAACACAAGGGGAACTCAAATATACGTGAGTGTGTAACTCTGAGTCTGTATGCTAAAAATACTATTTTTAGTATTTCTACTATTCTCTTGACTTGCTAGGGGAAAAGGAACCACACCGATGCTCCCCGGAATGGCTACAGAGCCAGGACCTGTGTTCTTCTTCTTCTTTTTTTTCTTTTTTTTTTTCTAAACAAGACGAAAAATATATAGTCATTCCCTGCTCCGCATGAAAGCGGTCTTCACCCACAGAGGTATCCTCCAACATTGAAGGATAAAAGACGACATTCAACATTGAGGAGCTTCCACAGACTGATCCTCGATATCTGAAGAGAAAACTGAGATGATTTGATGATATTCAAGAAAACGAAGAGAAAACATGTTGATTTGATGATATTAAAGAAACGAAGGCCTCTGATGACATTGCCTTCGAACTGAGTATCCTCAATCTTGCACTATATACAGGGAAAAGCAAGCAAGAACAAAAATGGGAACCTGGAGATATATGTCAAAATGTCCCTAAAAGATATGGGCACAGTGGATGGCCTTTTGGACTGCCATGTTTGTGTTATGCCCCTGTCAGGTGGGTATGCAAATTCGCTTCGCCTTTTGCAATTGCCCCTACAAAAAATTGGCAACTGCAGGGGCATTTTGCAAAGTTGGGCAGCACAAAGCTGGGGTCCAACTGATGGCTGGGGTGTTTCGGGAAATGTTTTTGCCATCGTCTTTTGGTGCAGCGTAGCTGCGGCGGGTCCACTTGTAATATAATAATGATATTAAAAGAAACAAAGGCCTCTGATGACATTGCCTTTGAAGTTTGAACTAAATATCCTCAATCTTGCACTATATACAGGGGAAAGCAAGCAAGAACAAATATGGAACCTGGGGAAGGATGAGAAAACTGCAGGGATGAGGTGGTCGACTACACAGGCCAACACTGCGCCCGTCAGTTTTACATTTTCATTTCACTTGGAGTATTCAGTACTCACGTCTTCATGTACATACTCGTGAAATGAAACAACTCCCATGATCGCGTCTGTTCAGTAGTCAAAGTATTTCCGGCAGCTGGTTGGTGGGAACGAGAAGTACGGGATATGTTTGGTATGTATTTTTCCAACCATCCTGATTTACGTCGTTAACAGATCATGGTTTTGAGGGTCTTTCATTCCATCTGGCATGGTTCTGTTGTAACTTAACAATAACGCAGGGATAAGGTGGTTGGCTAAATAGGCCAATGCTGCACCCATCAATATTACATTTTCATTTCACTTCTTTCATTCCGTGCACCACGGTTCTCTTAAACTAATATAATGCTCGGTTTATAGAACGACTCAGCATTCTTAGCACAACAATACCATGGCTAGCACGCCAATGCTGCACCCATCAATATTACATTTTCATTTCACTTCTTTCATTCCGTGCACCACGGTTCTCTTAAAACTAATATAATGCTCGGTTTATAGAACCACTCAGCATTCTTAGCACAACAATACCATGGCTAGCACTACCATCTTCCACCGAATAGAACATACAGTCCTCTTACAGCTGCATCTGGACTGAAGCTTGTGCCAACTTCAGCTATAATAACCATACATTCTATTTAGGGAAAGACTACTTCCAATGACTGGTGTAAATTCTAAACTGTATATAACTAGTATAACTATTTGATGACCACAGAGAACTGCACTGCACTGCTGAGCCACAGACGGAACGAGAGAAAGGTAAAAAGGTGAGACAGACTGTTTCGTCACAGTTCACAGCACAATCATCAGGAGGCTGGACCTTCTCCAATCTGCAGTCGCCTTACCTATGATACTGCAAGTAATAAATAGTCCACCTTGACCAGTACATGCCATACATTGGATGCAGGCCCGGTTGAGAGTGAAACGTGAAGCCGGCCGTCAATAAAGCCGTCAATACATTTCATCGACACCAGCTCCAACGTTTTTGGAGTAGGTGACGAACAGTTCTCCACAAGGCTGGGACCATCTGATAGCAGCTTAACCCCCCAGTTGCATTTCGGCACTGCCCCACATCTGAAACCCTGAAGTGGGAAGCACCCACTGTACGTGAATCTGTATACTATCATTGCCATCATAGAACTGAGCGGTGTACCATAGGCATACCTCCTGTATAGATTATCATATGCAGCTGCAATATAAATAATAAAAATTAAAAAAATAATTATTATTAATTAGTAATACTAAATTGTAAATACTTATGCTGTATCTGTTACGCTTACATATCAGAATATGTTTATAGCATCATAGAGAACCACCAAACAATAGGCAGAGAGGGAGAAGAGGACAACAGGGTTCAACTTGCCCCTTGGAATCGAGTACAATTATCAAATTATCCTTGGCTGAATGCACTAGAACATGCAATACAATCATCAATACCTAGTCCTTTTTAAGTCACAGTCTTCAGAACTCTTTTCGACCCATGGCCTTTTCCACCAACTTCCCAGTACGACATGGGAGGAAAAAACTCAACACTTACAACCAATTTCGATGGGCTTTCAATTCAATCAAAGCCTAAACAACATCACTCCCATTGCGCAATGTGGCTTAAAGCATCCAACTCACCCAATTGGGACCAACTCGATGGGGACCGCAGCACATTGGAAAAGAGTGGAAAAGCGAAGCAATTTTACTGACTGTGGCATGGGAAGCTCTGTCTTTTGGACAACATCATTCACTGATTTTGGGCCACACTTGCATTTCGATAGGGAAAAGAGGATCTTGGCATCATCTTGCACATCATGCAGAAAGCTCCAGTAGATGCCCGTTATCGACCGCGGGCCACTTTCGGAGGCCGCCTGCCGCCGTTTCATTTTATCTACAGCGCTTGGTCTGCTAATTTTTCGGAGAGGCTCAAAACAGGTTCTCCAGTTGCCTGGGGCCATGCACTGGTGGTTTAAGGGACAAAAGGCTTACCACTTTCAGGAGGTCTCCAATTGACGGGTCATTGTTCACCACCTCGCCAACAGCACTGACAAGCTTGATGATACGCTTCGCCATCTCGTATCCTGGTGCTGCCTTGCCACCGATCACGATGACCCTTGGGACGACGTTCTTCTTCTCCTCCGGCGACATACGCTGTGGTCCAAAACCACAAAGGGAAGGAAATGCATGCAGGCAAAATGGTAAAATCACCCAAAACAGCACACCCCAAACCCTCAGCAAATGGTTCCCAGGAATCCCAGCCGACAGCATAGACAACAAGCAACATTTTCTTGAGTAAGTGTGAGTAACAATGGTCTGCCTTTCTTCCCCCCCCCACCCCCTAATTCGGGCTCTGGAAGTGACTGGTCAATAAGCCGAATGTTCCACAAATTGCAACAAGTCTAGGTTTATTTGAATCTGGCTTTAGCCTGGGCCTCAGATCCCTATCATCTTCACCCGAATACAGCACCATTTTTTAGGCTGTATTTGGGAAAACTTCCAGTCTAGGTACAGCAATAATGACCGGGTGTTCTATTCGCGTGAAGATTGTAGGCTTGTGCTGTTTGGGTTTCTACGCCCCAAAGTGAAGCCGGGTACTGCTGCCAGTAACTTGTTTTCCAGGTAGACTGAGGACCCCAGCCTCCTGGAATGTTCATAAACTCTGTTTTCCCCAGAAAACAAAAACAAAACAGAAGGAAAAGCCTAAAAGGTGAACATCATTTTTCTAACAATTCATTCCAGTTATTACTCCAGCTGGTAAAACCTAATTGGTCAGCTTGAATTTCCTATTTAGCAGTGCTGCAAACCCGGTAGGACCACGTTAATGCTCCCAGCACACCCCCTATCCCTATTATCCTTCCTCAGTGTGACCACCACTCAGGACTATCCCCCTACCAGTATCGAGGGCAAGCTGGACCAGACAGCAGTGACAAGCACCCCAAAACACTTTCACCCCMCCCCCCTTTTGGGAAGTTCCCGGGTGGGAAGTACCGTCCCTACCCTGCCACTAACACATAGACTCAACAGGATGAAGCACGCAGGTGAGACCAGCAAGCACATAAGAGCAGGATGCACAATGAGAGCGCGGAGGAGGTGCAACCAACACGAAGGTGAGAGCAGGTCGCAGGTGAGAGCACATAGGCGAGAGCACGCAGGTGAAAGAACTCAGGTGGGAGCAGGTAGGCAAGAGCACACAGGACGCAGGTGAGAGCACACAGGTGGCAGCACATGATGCACACAGCACGCAGTGAAAGCAGGGCGCACAATTTTCTCTGGGCCCGACCAACCGAATTTAACAAGTTCCGTTGCTCCGTGGCTTTATTTACTGTGTAGCGAGTCCGTCCAACCTACTAGGAACACCTGTCCATATCAGTTCACTCTATGTCAGATTCTTTTCTACCGGTCCAAGAAGCTTCTACAATAATCTAATTCGCTTCGCTCTGTAAGGAGTGTATGTATGACAAGAAGACTCCAAGCTGAAGCTTTACCCCTACACTTACACCATGGGTGATGGGGATGCCCTAGCTCGCACAATCAATAGACTCCATCGCAGTCAATTCGCATCTTTAACTCAACAACTTACAACCGATCACCACTCATCTACACGCATCCAAATGTTTCAAGTTCAAGAGCGCACACGAAGTCTAGGATTACGTTTATTTGCCAATATGACGGCTGGTCATTATACTTTATGTTTGAATCACAAGGGCTGAAAGGAGGAGAAAACAAACAGTGCGGCAACTACAAACAGTCCACATTCCTCTGCCACAAGTCTGCAACCACAACCATGGTCTCCCGCTCACCCACAATTACCTTAATCTTCTCGTAGCGGTGAATGACTTGCAGGATGTTGAGAAGCTGCCGCTTATACTCGTGAATCCGCTTGACTTGGATATCGAACATCGCTTCCAAATTGACCTGACGATGCGGAATGCACACACAAGATCAGACACGAATATTTGAACATTCATCCTTCTATGGTCGTTCTTATACTGTTATTGGTGAACCGAACCTGATTCCACATGAAACTTCAGTGCAGCATCACACGACTGCGGAGATGAGACGAGGGTGCTTTGGCATTTGGAACAATTGTCCATACTCTTCTGTGACCACATGCTTCAACACTCTGCTATTCCGAGCCTGCACATCTTCTGGCTGGCTGTCCCAGACCTGCCCCACCACCTGCCAGCCTTCATTGCCATGTTCTTTTTCCTGTAAGCAACTTCCTATTCCAGATACACCACTGCTTACCTCCACCCACCCCTCAGAGCGTGACACCTCTCTCCATGCACAGAGCGAGAAGACGATGATACGTTTGAGATATTATGAGCTTACTGCAAAGAAGTATTGTCCACTGTGATGGTGTTGGCGCTGATCATTCACAATACCAGTTTGTCCTTGCTACAGTGCAAATTATGCAATCCAATTCACAATTTCACACACCACTCACCTTGACTCCAGTTAGTTTAAGGATCAAATTTGCCAGCTTCCTCTTGTTGTCAAGCTTCACCTGTCAAAGCCCATCAACAGAGTCAGAGACGCACCAAAGTGAACAGGATGTATCAGCAAATGCCATAGCATTCACACGCACACATCAGCAGGTAAGGGCCCAAAGGGGCATGGCATGGGAAAGGCATCAATGCTACAACGTCCCTTCTCTCCGGAGTTTGAAGAACACTTTATCACCAGGATGAAGCAGAGCCTTCAACGTGTTCTCATCATACATTCCAGCCGCAGACCAAACACGACAACAAAGGAGAGTGTAGTTCGTGGAGAACCACAGATTCCATAAATCATGAATGTGTCCATAGCCTCAGATTGAAAGACATCTCTAATAGTCCCTCGTGCTTCAATGCCTATTCAACAGAACCAACAGGGTTCCCGAGAGGAAAACTAGGGTAGGGCAAGCTGACAGTCAATCCTCTCCTACAGGAGTACTCAATGCTGATCAGGGTTCCTTCACCCAGACGGAAGGAAGCATGAGCGTTTACTATGATGTATTCAAATTTGACTTGCCGGGGGAATAGGAACCGGACTGACGCTCCCCAGACTCCATTACATACCATGCCCTTCGAAAAGTTTTAACATATAGAGAATGGAGAATGATGGAGTGCATAAAAAACGTCCACACACATCATTCAGTATTCAGAGACCAGTGTATGATTCATGAATTGATACAGGTGCAGATTCTTCGCGTACTTGTGCATATTCTTTGGGTAATTGATACATATCAATGTGAAGATTCTTCGGATAATTAATACATGTGCAGATTCTTTCGGTAATTGATACATGTTCATATTCTTTGGGTAGAAAAGCTGTCATTGGCCGAAAGCATCTGTAGTGAGGCCATGCATATAGAATCATTATTGATGCAATGGGTATGGTCAGAGTGACGTGTACAACGTTTATACTGCTCTCATCTTTTACGAAGTCCTGGAATGCTCCAGCAAGTGCAAGTGTGCGCAAGCTTCTGCCATGGATTTTGAAGTCCCCAGCAGAGGAAATGTCTCCCTGTTTCTCACCGCGGCGTATCAGTGCCCATTGCAGAAAAACATGAGGAACGGACAAGAATAACAGAGAAACAGATTGAGCGCGACACAGCCAGAACCTTCGAAGAAGGATAATTGGATGCAAGGGAAACTGGGCGAAGACCTCGAAGGACGGAAGAACTTACTGCTCTCCATCTCTCTTGCAGCTCAGGATCGTCCGCCTTGGCTGCAAGTGCCTTGACAAGTGGAAGGTCGGTGATCCAGTCCTCAGAACCAACGACCTCAGTGATTATTGCACGGAGTCCCGGGTTGCAGAATGCAAGCCAACGGCGCTGCATATGCATAAGACCACTTTCAAGAGTCAATGAAGACATCCCACAGGGAGAAAGAATACAAAAGTGGACCAATCAAAGAAGACACATAATTCCCAATCCAATCTTCAGATCCCACATCCCCACATCATTGTCAACGAGAGCCTTGGGCAATGATTAGAATGCCCCACCAACATCCATCAGGAAAAGATGCCGTAAAAGCAGCAGAAGTTGCAGAGCAGAAAAAAGAAAAGCAAGCCAACTTCTCCATTCAAAACTTCCTTCAATTTTTAAAAACCACTTTTCCTCAATTTTACTGCAGGCATCCCGGTCCCACCTCCGCTCTACCTATCAAACTATTCACATTTTACTTGCATTCTTTTAACAAAGTCCGAAACCATAAAACCCATAACCGACCTCTAGACGGCTCCTAAGACGTTCTGCCGGTGTGCTGCAGTTATACCGCGATGGACTAGCTCCAGGAATCCAAAAAAGAGAATAGTCATAATAAAAATAATGATACAGTTGATACTGCAAAAGTTTTCGTCTTCGAGGAAAAGGGTGCAGAATCTGCAGAAGGAAAAACACAGTCTGTTTCTCAGAGGAAAGGGATCAGAAAACAGGAACACAAAACATCACCATGCAATCCATTGCACAGGGCAATTATTCTTTTTCGTAGAAGACGGGAACAGAAAGGAAAATAAAAAACGAACAGACCCGCGACCGAGGGACCCGGCCAGCCAATCCAACATGTCTGGGGAAGGCCAACTCCGTTCTGTTCTCGAAATTCTTGTGGGGATCGTCTTTGCCGGAACAATATCCATGGCCAGTGGCCCTGTAGCAATTTTTCTTGTAGTTCGCCACTGGGTTCTGAACCCGGGCCAGTAGCTTGATGCTTCAGGAGCTGGCAATAGCAAGGCTGCAGGTAGAGGACCTGGTTTAAAATCAATAGCTGGAATCCGGGTAAAAAATTCTGGCCATTTCACATTCTGTATGTGTCATCTATGTGCCGGGGCCATGCTAATATTCTTCCAATGGTACCATTGATGCTAATATTCTTCCTATGGTACCATTATGTCCCAAGTACAAAGGTGTCGCATTTTGCCAAAAGGCCCAAGACCGTTGCCAGATGGTTTTTCGATTCATTCTTTCGTACTTTGAAGTCGACCAGAAATACGATGGCGAGATGACGGTGCAGCCATAGCTACTCGTTATGGTCAGGAGCTGTCAGCCACCAAGGTGGGCAATCTGATAACCCAGTTCTGTGATGAGACACGGCTTTTGCATGCTCCATTGCTCCAATCAATCCTGTGCAACTACGGTGCAACTACGTAACTACCTACACATTATGCGGGTGTGAATGAGAGCATCAATTTGATGATCCTGCGTCATTCTAAGAACCGGGAGGCCAATGAGTTCGTTACTGTGATAAATGGGGTCTGCAGTTCTTGTGTTAAAAAACGTGAGGGGAAAAAAAAAAAAAAAAAAAAAAAAAAAAGAAGCCAGAGGACACAATGAAAAGAAAGCGAAAGAACAAAAAAAAGAAAAAGGTGAAGAACAAAAAACAGGAAAGCATGTAGACCATCCAAAAGACAATATGGAAACAACCGAACAACATCCCAGCAACCCAAGATTTTCATGGAAGCTTGGGCCCTTGTACTGCCTCAAAACACACTCCCACACAAAACGCAACAGAGACACAGTTCAATGTACTAATGTCAACTCGATAATGGCATTAACTCGAACTAAATCAGAAACATAAAAATGGTCCCCCCAAGGAATTTCAATTCCCAACCACCATCACACCAGATCATACTCACAAGATCACAAATAAAAAGTTAATAATAACCCATGCAGACTCAGGCAACTTGCAGAGATTTCTTGCAGGAAAAGCAAACTTCTTAGCAGTCTAAAACTTGTTGTTGGCACTTAGTTTCTTTACATGATTATAATACTTCCATTTTTTTTTTACATGATTTTTCTTTACATTATAATACTTCCATTTTTTTTTACATGATTATAGTACTTCCATTTTGTTCACTGCCAAAACTTGTTGCGGGCACTTGATTTCTTTACATGATTATAATTTATAATACTTAGCATTTTGTTCACTTCAAGGTAAGGTTCATCATTAGGGACGAGGAGTTACCTGCGTGACACCATTCGTCTTGTTCTGGAACTTATGGGGCCAGATCTCATAAAACTCCTGCAAAAGGCCAAAACAAAAAAAAAAACAAAAAAAAAAGTCACAATACACAATACTGAGAATAGTAGTAACCGGGCACCAGGAAATATACCTTCCTTGTTTCTTACTCTAAAATAAGGACACTCAATCAGGAGTCGTAGGACCTTTTAATTTCTTACTCAAAAATAATGTCACTCAGTTAGGACGCCTCAGCAAGTGATTCAAGCAGCTTTTGCCCATGCTATGTTTCACGGAACATAAACCACATACAACATGTCCAATTAAAGCTCTGGCTTCACCAGATACAACATGCCACATACGCTCTGGCCAGTTCCTTGGAAACTGGAAATGTTGTGCGGCTTGTGCCTATCAAGCTAAGTTTAAATCGCTCCTTGGAATCTGGAAATGCGGTGCCCCTATCAAATCAGCTTAGAATAGCTACTTGAAAAATGGGAATGTGGTGCCTATCAGACCAGTTTAAACTTCAAATCATTCCAGAATCCAGACACTTCCTTACGGCTCTGTTCCGAGATGCAAGCCCTATGCAGTATGTTCCTTATCCTTACCACAACACCTCGTTGAAATAGCTCTTGCCCTAATCCACCTTTTCAGGCGTTTATAGAAGAACAGGAGACGGCGAAGAAAAAGGAGTGGAAGAGGAAGAAAGAGCAGAAAAAAAAAACCCTGAGGAACAAGAAAAGAAGAATAGAAGACAAAAAAAACAACTCACAGGCAGGGGCCACGATGGCGCAGCTCGGTGGCAAACGGTGCAATGGGAAATGTGAAATTGAAGAAGAAGTCAAACAGTCCAAACTTTGCCCATCCAATTCTACCAGGGAGATCTGGAAATGGGAAAAGTGAAATTGAATAAAAACATATGTAATACTCTTTTAAATCAATATTTCCTCCGGATAAGCCATACAACCAAGATAAACCATATGCCAAAATTGATGTAGTCCTGATAACAGACATGCATCATAAAGTGTGATGCCTGTCAAGTGTCTAAGCATTTCCTACTACCTTTCCATGATTCAGGCACGGTCCGGAATGACAAAGGCCATCTTTCGCTTGCATGATTCAGGCACGGTCCGGAATGACAAAGGCCATCTTTCGCTTGAGACTGGGGGGAGACAATTCTACCAGGGAACATCTAGAAATACGAAAAGTCACGGTAAATTCAAGCTGCACAAAATATCAACCCTGTGATTCCCACCCATCTCACCTTGAAGATTGTGTGCTTGATGAGCTCTGAGTGGATTTGGGCTACACCATTGACCGTGTGCGATGCAACCACAGCCAAGTTCGCCATCCGCACATACTGTACAACACACAACCACAATTGCAGCATGCACTTATTACTCGGGAGTCGAAATAGGGGAACAAATAGCATGAACAGAACTTATTATAAATTGCAGAGACTCCATTCCCTTCAACTGATACGGATTTTCACTGCGGAAACCAACGAGGACTGCCACTCCACACCTTCCCTTCGGCTACCACACACACATACCCATACACAGATGCACATAGAGACATAAGGACAGAGAAAGCACAAGCACCCCGTACATGTGTATTTGCTGTTGTGGTAATAAGAACACGTTGGTCTGCAGACCAACACAGACAGCACACCCGCCACCCAGACGTGTACACAAACACGTTTGCACATCGACATGCACACGTACATGCATGCGTATGCATGCACATGCACACAAACAAACAACAAAGTTCAAAGAACACATTGAGACTCTCCGAGTTCTCGCACCACACACATACGTCACTACCACACGCACACACACAACCTCGTGCAGATTCTGATGCACAATCCCACACTTCCACACGTACCTTCACATCCGCTTCCTCAATGATTGACATCCGCGCTACCTTGCTGTAGTCATCTCCAACCTTGCTCTTCATACTCTGAATGAAGTTGAAGTTGATCTGGTAGATGATCTGCAAAAAAGAAACAAATCAGGATGACACTGACGGTCAGTTAGGGGTGATATCATGATCTAGCATGTGTGTGTGCAACATGACAATCATATGGGCAACAAAGACGTGTTCTAAGACGCACACCACTTGCGGTCTGATCAACCAGGGACCACTGTCTGATAACTCAAGAATCAAGACATGATGCATACAATTTGTTGGTTTGTTGGACTTTCTTCACATAGAGAACCTACTCACGCATTCCTATGAAATAATGGAGAAGAGTACAACCGTTGACACACAACAACGCTCACGATCAGACATTTATCTGGTGTTTCTCGGTTTCCCTCTCACTACAGGGTCAGTTGTCGTCATCACCCTAATGCAACATGCCACGGTCGGGTGAGTATCCCACAGCAAAGGCAGAAACACCACTGTTGTAGACACTTTGGTTGTACTGCATGGAACATCCATCGTCACATGTTCAGCACATAACACACCCACGCACCTGCATATGTCTTGGCAGCAAGCGCTCCATGAGAGAGACAGGCCACTTCTCCAGTGCCTCGGGAAGGACGGTGTGGTTCGTGAAGGAGAACACCTTCGTGACAACATCCCATGACTTGGTCCAGCCCAATCCCTCCTGATCCATCAACAAGCGCATCAACTCTGCGACTCCAATGGTAGGGTGAGTATCATTTAGCTGAAGAGAAACCTGTCAACAAGCCAGGACAATAACACCAACCCAAGGATCACAGAAAACTCATTCAGCAACCCCCACCTTCAACCACTACCCCTTCAAAACATAATAACAAACATAATAACAAACACCATAACAAGAAAAGAGACAGAAAAGAGCCAATCCTGCCGGATTGAAATCGACCCACCATCCCTCACATTTATCCCAAAATTCCAAACCTGATGCTTCCCCTCCGATGTTCCAAACCCGGCGCTTTCCCTCCGCTGTCCGAGGGAGGGAACTTCTCTGCGTTGATTGCTCCTTGAGAGGGACCATATGCCACCAGACCAACCCTTTCTCCTAACCACACTACATCCTCCCCCAACTCTTGATCTTTTCCCCAAAGCGCAATATCGCAACCAAATCTTGTCCTAAAAGGAGGGACTCCATCTGGCTGCTGATTTTGCCATTTGGAGATCTTGAGGACCTCTTGTGAGCAACTCCTGGGAGAAAGCTTCAGATTGCAGAAAACCAGTGCCGGTACTGGGTGGACCCCCAAATACGTTGATTAAATTTATGATATGATAAGAGTTCTTTATTAGGGGTTCTTTCAATTGGTTTATTGAGTTCATGACATGCTTCTCCATCAGGGGCGGTTCTTTCGATTGCTTGCTGGCATGTCTTTAACGCTATTCTCACGTTTGTCTCACTCCATTTCCTTCTTTTCTTTTTAACTACTGACTTTTTTTTTTTTTTTTTTGTAACAACTGACTTACTACTCTATATGCCTGTACCTACCTACCTACCTACCTAAATCAAGGAAAACTCATCCAGATGTCTTGATATTCCACTAAGGGCCTAACCCCAGGTGAGGGATGGAAGGGACAAAGGGATAGCCCTTAGCAAGACCGACCGGGGGGGGGGGAGCCCGCTATCTCAGCTGGTGAAACCGTAGCACACTGCAGGAGGCCGTGGAATTCAAATGGCAGATGTGGGGAATAGAACCCATGACCTCCTGAACGCCGCTTTTGTGCTCTACCAACTGCGGTAGTCCGCTCCTGCCGCTCTCACTCCATTTCCAATTTTCCGCCCATAAGTCTCGAGTCAATTTGGCGTTGATAAGAGCCAATGTTTCAGAGCTGACCACTTTCTTTGTCTGCAGTTCCCTGACCACTCCTTTTCCAGATAATGTACAGCAGATTCTGTCTCAACATTTGGAACACTAATCTTTACTGAAGTCGGGCAAATGGGCGCCCATGTGCATTGGATTTTAATTCAGCATACAGTGTGGTCTGTAAGGATCCGCCCCCGGCTGTATACCATGCCTGAATGATCTCCAGATCGCCTTACTGCAACGAAAGAAACAATAATATATTCTCGACCTGACCCTCCAAAAGTAGCATACAGCTCTTTCAATGGGGTCTTGTCTTCCTCGCCGCTCATTATTTAACCATTTTAGCAGAGCGCCACCTCGAAATTCCTTGTTAATTTTAAGGTAAAAATAAAAATAAATGAAAAAAGTTAAAAAAAACACGAGTCCAAATGTACCCTTTTAACCCCATTAATCACTGTTTATACCCCCCCAAACCCCCCTGGGTGACCCATCACCAAAATCTAAGTTAAAAATTCTGACTGCTTAGGCCAAGCGCCATCCTGGCCTAAAGTCTTTTCTTTTTTTTTTGGGATCCTTGGCATTCCTTGCCTCTTTTTTGACCCATCTGGTTTTGCCTGGTGACACCCCCTCTGCCCAATTGGCCTGGGCGTGCCGCGGGCCGGACGATGGCCCGACACAGCCAATTAATGTTTTTCACATGAGGCAGCCTGACGGCCACTACATCCCTGAAGACAGAAACAAAAGCACATGCGCCCCTTTCATCGAATCCCATGTCACATCTTACAATGAACATACATAACATAACACAACGTATCATAAAACGAAATGCAACGGCATGCTGAATCATGCAATACACATCTCAACAATTGTATAAAGCTTTAGATACAGCACAGAAAGACAACAGTTCTCAGAGAGAGAACAATTCTCTAACGGAATTCTGTTACACCGTACAAAGCAATAGATACAATATTCCGGCATGCTTGGTTGGTTATACAAATGCACCGTGGCCATACTTTTGGCTTGTCAACCACATAGCAGCGGCTGTTGCTTTCTGCTCACATGGACAATGGACATGTTATTGCACAAGCGAGCAAGATGCAACAGCCGCATGAGAAGAACGACCACTTCCTCTGCCAAATAAGCACACACAACTTCTGTGAGCAATTAACTCTTTTAAGGGAGTGCCACAGAAACCAAACCAACCTTCTCAGGCAGCTTGGTGATATCTTTCTCTTTCTCCTTGAAGGACCGCAGTATGTCTTGCAGAGTAGCTGAACAAAGGAAATGTTGTTGCTTCAACCGCAACTCCTTTCCCTGCATTCACAAATCATATTCCATCCCTCTCATCAATTTCCCTGCCGGCTTCGGCAGAACCCAAGGGCCATTCACAACAACTAATCAATCTGAACTTTATGAATCGGTCAAGTGCTTCAATTGAACTACAAGGCAGATTGATTTTCTATCAAAATGTGTTAGATATACTTAAAATCCAAGTTTCAGAACTTACATAATCCCCTCCAGTCCTGTTCGAATCATAGGCAAACCATGAGTGAAGCAGCTAATCGCAGCCAATCACTAAATAGTAAATACTAGATAGTAAATAATACATCGAAATATTAAGTATATCCAAGAGAGCTTGAAGAGAATATTGTTCACTTGTTTCAAGTCTTGTAATACCGCACAGGGCACCTGCCAACCACACAAATTGTCAGAGAGCCAGTTCGCTTTTCGGTAATACCACACAGGGCACCCACCAACCACCCAAATTTTCGTATTGCAATACTCCCTCAACCAACCATACACACACACAAATTGTCACAGATCCCAATATTTTCAAGTCCAGCATCGGCACTCCCTCAACCGCACATACACACAGAGTGTCAGAGAAATCACCGCTACACCACACAAAACACAGCCACGGCATCACTGACAGCTGTCCTGCAGAAGAAAGAGCTCACAGGACTGATGAGCGCAGTCACACAACCGCCATCAATTCAGCAGCCTGTTATTAATTCAGTTACCATAGCTACTGAAGATCAGACAGGTTACAAAATTACCGACAGCGTACATGAGAATGACTGACAAAATTCAGACCACAGTGACTCTTCTCATTCCTCTAAGTGATTCATCCAACATAAGAACTGCAGTTATTTTCCATAAAAAACCTACAGCAATAAATAAAATTTCCATGAAAATACCACTCGATTGATTCCCAAAAAAAGTCGTTTCATAACCAGTCACACACACACACACACACACACAGAGTAAGAAAAAGTCTCCAACTATTCACACGCACACACGCACCTACGCACACACGCACACACACAGAGAGTAGCGCACACACACACACACACAGAGTAGCGCACACACACACACACACAGAGTCACACACACACCCACACACACAGTAGCGCACACACACACACACACACACACACACACACACAGAGTAGCGCACACACACACACAGTAGCGCACACACACACACACACAGTACACACAGTACACACACACACGCACACACAAGAGTAAGAAACAGTTTGCAGAACGAGTCATACAATCTGCAGAGCACCCAATGTCACTGCGCATTTACCTGATTTGTCCTGTCATCTGGGTACAACACACTGCTGATTGATTCTGCCCTCTGTTTTGCAAGGATAGCTGCCACATAATCTCCAGTGTTGAATGACTGGAGGTCAAACTCCGAACTTGGCTTCCCAGCCCACAGTCTCAGATTAATTGTATTTTCCGTTGCATACCCAGGTACTGGGTTGTCATACGCAACGGCTTGCACCTTCAAGCAACAGAGATACAATGGTCAGGGGTGACACGACAAATAGTCCATCAAAGACTGGCAACATCATTGCAACATAAGCGCACGTGAAGAGTAATCACTAAACTTACGTGTGACATAGTCTCATCGTGACTCTCACCCAAAGGCTGAACCCTTGGCAGCTCATACCCGGACTGCAGTACCCGGACACAATTTGTTGATCCGATCTGATCTGGTTGGTCCAGATGATGCAGGCACCCAAACTCATCCATAGAAGTATTCAAACAGTGTGTGGATGGTGTCCGTGTGCAGTAAACATCCTTTTACATAAAAAAAAAAAGTAAAAGCACATGGCCAAGGAAACAACCTACACGGGCATAGTCACAGAAGATAAAACCACAAGCCCATCCACGAAAAAAAGGCGTAAAACCACAAGCCCATCCACGAAAAAAAGGCATCATCGCTAACTAAACTTCATCTAGCACATGGCCAACTTTCAGACCATATGCAGTGATAATGAACGGGCGTTTTATTCCGGTGAAGACGGTAGCATAGTCACAGAACCAAGACAGTCGAACAAACAAACATATGGGCAACTTTCAGACCATATGCAGTGATAATGAACGGGCGTTTTATTCCGGTGAAGACAGCAAATAGTCACAGAACCAAGACAGTCAAAAACAAACATATGTACATACTACACAAAGTATAGACAAATAAACGGAAAAAAAAAAAAAAACCCATCCAGGAAAAGAGGCATGGTCATTATCTCAGCCTCCTTCATTGAACTTCCCAGAAACAAAGGCAGCTTAGCCAGGACACCACATGGTACATACTAAAAGCTTGAGCGACCCAACCGTGACACATCACAGCGAGAAAGAAGCCAAAATGTTCCACCCCAGTGACGGAACCCCCCCCCCAGTGACGGAGTGCCCCCCCCATAGCCGGTTGATCTGCTGTTTGGCCATTTAACAGGATCAATTTACACCCGATGATGGAAAGGAAATACACGCATGGCACAGTAACATGCAAAACAAACCCACACCATATGGCACAAACTTACAAATAAAAATTTGAACACCTACCCCCCCCAACACACACACACACAGAGTTGGGAACGCACTTGAGACGTCGTTTCCTTCTAACGAGACAGCTGACTGATGCTTCCCATGAAAAAAATAGTATCAAAGCTTCAAATTTTCAAAACCTCACTGCCGCTCACCTAGTAAAGGCAAGACGAAACTTCCCAAAAAAACAAAAGAAGCGCACACTATGTTCAACATAAAATGGACAACGCACAGTCAAAAAGCTCTGTCCTCAGACTCATCAGTGACGTCCCCAAATTTTCCTCACTGCATTGAAGGCAAGTTTAGACTGGCTACCATCCATACCTGCTCTCCAGCAACCCATCTGAATCGCTGCCGATTCTGTGAATCCGTGTACGACTCGACATGCCCATAAAACTGCAAGGTCAAGCCATCCATCCACATAGTACGTGGCAGTCAGGTTCGCTAACAACTTCTCGTTCTCAGTTGTCCATCAAAGATCTCAGAAAAAAATGCACTTTCGAACCATTGTGCTTTCCAGTCCGCTTCCCAGAAATTTCTTACAAATGTGTGAGACTCGAGACCATTCTGCAAGACAAGCAATTGCCACAACGCCACAATTTGTGCAAGCAACTCCTTTCCCCTAAGAATTATGTAAGGGGAGTCCTTCCGGGGATCCCTTGAAATTGGAACTGCTAGAAGGAAGGTGAGGAACGCCTATGCACGACGCACAGATTAAAACCAAAAAAAAAAGTAAGCTTAAAAAAAAAAGGGAACCAAAAAAAAAAAATTTGCTGGACAGTGGACACAGAAACTGAGTAAAAGTTCTGTAAAACGGCATTCTGCAAATCGATTCAAATTTTACATTATTAACCTTAAATTGAAGAATCAGTCATGGTCTAGCAAAACTAAGTCATGGACGGACAAACAGGGATCCTAGGGGCATAATAGGGACAAAATGGTTCATACAGGGACAAACAGAGACTGGGTCATAGATTTTGATGGAAATGAAAAGATAGACACATAAAGAGTGCAAATTCGAGAATGTGGACATTGCTACCGAGCGAAAACATGGACACATAAGAGGGTGCAAATCTGAGAATGCAGACTTCGCACTGAGTGGGCGACATATCTATCAACTTGGCCACACGGCTTAGTTGCACAGGTGTGGCCAAATTTATTAATTTCTGAGGCTTGGTTGCACAGGTGCCTGCAACAGAATAATTTCTGAGGCAATGATGCTCCACATCAGTGTCAAGAAGACAAAGGGCATAAAAAGCATATGCTTGAATGATTCCAATCTCAACAGAACCAAGCTCTCACTGTATACGGCATGAACTCCAAAACTCGGCTCGCCTCTCGAACAAGCAAAAGTTGAACATAAAAAATAAAAAAATAAAAATCCACAGAAAAAAAGGCACCTAAAACCACCAGTTCAGATGAGCCCGTTCACAAGCCTCCAACTGCACCATTTTATAGAGACCTGCACAGGACACTACCAGAGCAGGCCCAAGGCAGTATGCTCTTACAGCATACACCATTAAGAACCTGACCTTGCTTCAGGCGGACTGGTGTTTAACTTTAACGACTTGCAAAAGACAGCACTGCAGCCATGGAATATTCCAACAAACAAGACAGCAGAGCCATGATTGACCGCCACACAGTACGGGAATTCCACACTTCATTTATAAGCAATGAAGCACTGCAAAAAGTCATGGTTATGCCAGACACAGACGGACAACAGGATGTCCAGCCGGATTGACATAAAATTACAGACATCTCGGATTAAAAAGAAAAAAAATCACACAGAACGTTCATAAGGGTTAATACCCACGGCAGAGTTTCCAACACGTACCTCTTGTTCTCTCTCTCTCTCAATTACTCGCACACACAGATTGTGCTGGAACCGTGATGTCCTCTTACGATACAAGGAAGCATCCCTCATCTCATAACATTCCATCAAAAGACGGTTCCAAAACACGGCCACGACTTGCATGCTCTCTCTCTCTCCCACACACACAGACACACACACACGCACACACACATCATTTGTCTTGGGAGCTGGCTTCTTTCTCACCTGAATCTCATAGTTAACGTTCGCACGCTCTATCTCCCAAGGGTTGCAGAACGTCAACCAATAATCAGGCTGCTCATGTTGAAATCCATTGAGGATGAGTTGCCGAAACATGCCATACTGGTACCGAATCCCATACCTGCAATCACACACAAGGAAGAAACCACATTCACAATTTCACACACTTAAAACCAGCACTACACACCCCAGGCAAATAGTGCAGCAGCTGCAAAAACACATCGTGCAAGTCCAGAACGGCTGGTGCTGCCAGCCAAACACGAAAAATGAATGCCCTGGTTCGTTTGGTTTAGGGATGCGTAAGTCTTTTTTTGGTTTAGGGATGCGTAAGTCGGGAGGCTTGTAAAACACAGCCTCAACTGCAATTCTCTCCCCTGACCACCATCTCACAAATCAACCATTTTCCTTTTACGACCCCAGCAGCAGCACTTCCAGCGTGCAAATAACGTTCATGCAGCTACCATCATCGCCACCCCACACATCAACCACTCCAGCAAGAGTTCCCATGTTCAATGAACACTTGGGCAGCTCATACAACCCTCCACATGCACAATTCTCACAACCCTCACACTATGCACCCAGACTTCACACACATCTCACACCTCAAGACCAGTTGTTGCCAGAGGCTTCCCAACGTACACAAAAATCTCCAGTTGATTACCCAATCTGTTATTCCCACTCGAAGGCACCCTCCTACAATTCATAATTGAAACCAACAGTTCCGATCCTACTGAAATGAGAAGGCAGTCATTCTGGAGAGATCCTGAACCTAGAACCTAGGGACCACATTTCCATCCCCTGGACGAAGTACCTGTCCATCATGCCGGTTAGGATTTGAAGCATGCAGTGGTGCTCGTAGCCCACGCATCTCTGCCCATCAACCAATGGCTCCACAAGAGGAAAACATACGCATCCCGACAGCTCTGAAGTATGTGATATGGGCCAGATAGTAGACCAGAAGACGTACCCCATTGCCTCCTGTACTGCACTGAAGCAGCCTGGATATGGAACAAGGTCCGCAACTTATGGTCCCTCATCACCCACCACCCCCTCCCCCCACATCTCCTCAGAACATCCTTCTTTTATCCAACAAGGAAATCTAGTTTCATCTTGTCAGGAAGCTGGTTCTGTGGGTGATCTGGAAAACGAGGTGTACCAAGACTATCGAGAGAATGGAGGTGGCAAGAGAAGAAACGTGGGCCCTACTGTTGGGTATGACGGAAACCGAGATCCGGTGCAGATGGAGGGATGTGAACCAGAAAGGCTAGCTACCAAGAGACGTTCTTTCAAGAGAGACTGGCTTCTACAGGGAAAGATTGCGACAGTGGCAGATAACAGATTGATCTGGAAGAAATGGCACAGCAAAACTCCAGCAAGAACGATGACCCAGTGATGGGCAAATTGAGACCATAGTCTCAGCAATATAGACAGCTCTCCTCTTTTCTTGGTGCTCACGTATTATATGACAGAATCACAATGGATTCTGAGAGGAAAAGTGGTAGGGCAAGCTGACAGCCAATCCTCCTACACAGGAGCAATCAATGCCGGACAGGGTTCCTTCGGCCAGACGGAAGGAAGCATGTTCGTGTTCACAACATATTCCAATTTTTAACTTGCCGGCGGACAGGAACCGGAATGATGCTCCCAGAATGGACATGGAGCCAGGACCATACGAACATGATCTTTATTAGGGAAAAAAAAAAAAACCGGGGCTGTCATCTTCATTATTTGGTTTTGTCCACTCTGATTATCCCTTGTCATTGCTCTGATTGGCGTGCATCATGGAAGAATATCCATTGGTGAATCTTGCATGTCTGTGCTCTACCGAACAGTTAGTTCAGTGCTGTCTTTGCAACGGATGCTGAACCCGGTTCCCAGCTTTAGTGAAAGGAAAACTTTCAGAAAAGATAATTAAAAAAAATCTGAGAGGTATGCAGTGACAGCTGGAATAAGACATTAGCTTTAGCGCCTGAAGGCATATACAGACACTGGCCCTTATATATGTACGCCTTTTTTTTTTGATCTGGAGTTCAGATAAACCACGTATATACTATATACTGGGTCGTATATGAGCCTAGCGGTAGATACATATAAGTTTATTTTTTGTAGAGTTCAAATAAACCATGTATATACCACGAGGCGCATATATGTGCACCTCTGGATCCCCCCAATTCCCCCCTACCCCTTACCTCCTCCATACTGTGACAACCAGAAGAGACTTGAGATCAGACCAACGTGCACACCAACCCCCCAAAAATCCTCCCACAAGCCTATCCCAGCATACAACCACCATGGACAAGGACCCCTTGGGCTGTGCGCAGGCAGTGTCTGTATAAACATACCGTGCATGCGTCCCAAGGGGGTGTGCGAATGGCAATACATCGGTCGACGCCTGCGGGTGGTCACTGCGCAAGAGTGTGGATTCTCAGATGGAACAAGACCCCATACCTCTTTTTTTTCAGGGCAGTACGTTTATGTCACAAGGGAGTTTGTAATGGGCAGTAAAAAACAAGATCTGCAACTTTATCCGTGGGCCTGAGTTTGAAAAGGCGGTTGTAACTCAGGCTGGCAGTGGTGTCAGAGTGGCAGGGTGGTGGTTTCATTTAGGCAGTTGTCATCGTGTTTTTTTTTTTTTTTTTTTTTTACGGCCATGACCAGCCGTGGGCATGGCCTAGACATCACGGCCGTGGCCCAGCCACACGTGTGGCCTAAACATCATGGCCACGGCCACGCAGGAAAAGATAAAAATAAATTCTGACGCCAAAAAGAAAACACTGACACCAAAAAAACGCCCAAAAAGAATATTAACGCCAGGCAAAAAAAAAAAAAAAAAAAAAAAAAAAAAAAAAAAAAAACACAACCACCTTAGCGAGACCGCCATCCTGACACCACTGCCGACCTGAGTTACAACCACCTTTTCGAACTCAGGCCATGACAAAGTTGTCAGACTGCCTGTTTTTTTATGCCTTTGTGAACTCGAAACATGCCGCATCCGCTATTGTTTCTTTTTTTTTTCCCCTCAAAACACGCCACATCCGCTGTTGAACTCAGGCCATGACAAAGTTGTCAGACTGCCTGTTTTTTTATGCCTTTGTGAACTCAAATGCCGCATCCGCTGTTGTTTCTTTTTTTTTTTCCCTCAAAACACGCCACATCCGCTGTTGTTTCTTTTTTTTCAAAAATTCCTATCTGTCAATAACTAGGAAAATTGGAATTATTCAGCATATGACACCCAAACGGGTACCCAATTCCACATTTCAAAACGAGTACATACCCCCAGCCAGGATAGTTCATCGATGCCATAGAATCCAAGAAACATGCAGCAAGCCTTCCCAGCCCTCCGTTCCCCAAAGCTGCATCCCGTTCCTGCACCACAATTGAGCCAGTGTCAATCCGAGAACAATAAACGTCTACTTCAACAAAATGTCAGTAAAAACAACTAAAAAAAATGATTGTTCATAAACATGTGGGTAATCTTCTAATGAACAACCATGCATTCATTTCGAGTTCAACACACAGAGTATCAGGTATGACCCAGAAAGTCGTCAGACCCCTTGTCAGTGTGAAAACAACTAAATGAATTGCTCATAAAGTGACACAAACATCTTTAGTGAATAATCATTCTAATGTACAACCAACCTCTCTCAAATCCATGCAGTGATTTCGAGTTCAACACGCGTGTCAGGTATTACTCAGAAACTGCAGAAAGTTCTTTTTCTTTCTTTTTTTTATGTAATTGAAGTTACATTCCCCGTTCATAATTCTCTGGGTAACCGCCATCTCAGACAGCCCACAGTAAGCAGCTGGAAGGAAACAGTGCAGCAGTCGTATTAGGATCGTATTAGCTAAATGAGCATATAAATCCACCAGGGATAGCCGCTCTAGCCTCTAACGTGATGAAATCAGGCAAGCTGCACGAAAGGGTACTTTCCAAATATCCAGAAAGAGCCAGTAGAAAAGGATAAACGGGTGGGGCAGGGGTACATCCTTGCACTTGGCAATACAATCAATGCTCAGGTCCCTCGGTCATAACGGACGGAGTCAGGGGGTGAGCACATGATATACAGAACACCAGGGAGAACAGAAAAAAAAAAAGAACCTTCACAGCTACTCAATTTTGGCCAAATGAAAGCGTACAGGTAGCTTCATTTAGTTACATAAATGAAATTCAACTCCAGCATAAACCATGTAGCCAAAGATATAACTTGGGATTTTTGGGCTAAGCTCATAAAAATTCTACAAGCAATTAATGAATTCGTAAGTAGAATTGTCTGATTTTGTTTTACAGATGAAATTCAACTTGGGGCATAAACCATGTCGCCTAAGATGCACCACTCATGATTTTTGGACTATGCTCATAAATGTCTGATTTTGTTTGCTACCTCATCTAAAGTTTCTACAAGCAAATGATGAATTCGTAAGTATAAATGTCTGATTTTGTTCACTACCTAATCTATAGAATTCGTACGTATAAATGTCTGACTCTGTTCACTACGTCATCTATACTGACTCTGTTTATTACTTCTTATTTATTCATCAACAAGGAGATTATGAGAAAAACAAAAAAAGCCCCAGCTTACTCCTTCAATAAGACCCCTGGAAAGAGAGGCAGGGGGGGGAAGAGAAGCGGGGGGGGGGGGGGGGGGGGGAGAAGTGGTAGAGAGGAGGGGGCGGGCAAGTGACATCCAGATTGCCTAAAATAAGGGGTGACTCATCACAACGCAGTAAAATTGAAAACTACAGTAACAGAGAGAGCAGGAGAGCAAAAGAGCAAGAGAGAGAGAGAGAGAAGAGAAAAAACATGTAGTCATCCGAACTACAAACAACAGCAGCGATACCTTAAACAACACATTCCACCATACGAACCTCCTCAACCAGATCCTCCAGCTTGAAGCCCAACTGTGATACCGCTTCAGTATAAAGGTTCTTCACATCTAGGTTATACAAGCAGTTCAGAAGTGATCGACCTGTAGTAAAATGCACACACACACACAGGGGGGAGAGAGAGAGAGAGAGAGAGAGAGAGAGAGAGAGAGAGAGAAGGTGAGCAACAAACATACCCGATAGAGACACAGGGCGAGATAAAATTTTGATCAGTCAGTCAATGTCCGACAGAACTCTGGTTCATGCCATGGCTTGCTTGTAAAACTGCCTTCAAGCAAATATGACACAGAGCCGAATACAACTGATACAGACCAAGATAGGAAACATAAGGGGGGTTAACATAAAAACCATGCGCTCTGACATAAGACCTAGTTGCAATTCCCCAAAAACGGATCGAGGACTAGACAACCCCTGTTACAGTTTCCCAATTAGTTAAATATTTGTTGCAACCACATTTCCAATGGTGGCGACGGGCCACATGCGCTGTTAGGGTCTGCCAACAAATAAGAGCAGGGGGATCAGCCGATGAAAGGGAGAGAGTGCAAGGGATACTCACCCATCAAGAACTCCATAGACAAGTAGAATACTCTCTTCGGGTTGACTTTCTGAAAGTAAACCTCTGTGTCCGTCCAACTTTCAATCAGTCGGTCACGGACGCTATGTGCAACAGCCTGCAACAACAGTGTAGAGTGTCAAACTCCATCAGTGAGAAGAATTTTCTTTTTTCCAAAATTCGTGAACTACATCTGACTGAGTCCTGAGCAGTCCCAACACATCAAATTACCCCTCCCTGCCGAGGGTCACATTGAAATTCATCAGTGATTTCAAAACAAAAATAATGTAGACAATGAGACTCGCACCCAAGCGCCTAGCTCGGTGGGTATACCCATGAACTGTTGAAATACAGACCTGTGTTCGAATCCAGATGAAAAAAAAAGAGAAAAAAAAAGAGACTCAGATGTACCCCGTTGAACCCCTTCTGCACCCATGACCCATCATCAAGCCAGATCTGACTGCTTAGGTCAAGCACAGTGCGGGCCTGAAAGTCAGAATTCTTTTTTTTCCCCTTCTACTCAGTGTTGCTTCAGCGACCCCTGACTGGTCGGCTGCCGACCCGCCAACCGGTCGGCTGGTCCACACCTACCGGTCATGTTATCACACCCCACAAAAAAAAAAAAAAAAAAAAATCGGGTCCAGAATCCCTAATAACCCCACAAACACCCCCA